ACTTGCAGATCCTCCACCCGTGGAGCAAGTCATGCTAGCAGCAGCTGACAGACCTGCTCCCACTCACGGACTCACCTCAGTATTGCTGCTTGCTCTGTCAATAGATACTTGATACTGGATCTTTAGATTTAGTCTATTACATACCTAGTTCTAGTTATCATTCTAATCACTGTAAGACAAAGACCAGCTGCAAAATTTCTTGGAAGAAAAATAACAGGAATGATGCAGCCACATGCTGCAAGAAATGTGGGGTCTTCATATGCAGTTGTGCAAGGTGCTATCAATGCATTTGTGACTCTCTCTTTCACTGACTTGAAAGGCTCTTTGTTGGCATTCTGCAAAGGGATGGCACTTACTAAAAATGTCAGCCTTGCAAAGACAAAGAGCAGAAGTAAGATCCTATGCAATTATACTGAATTTTGTTAACACAGAATGGGAAACTACAATGATATAGAAGGATAATCTACATAGATAAGCATGTTTTTAAAACCACATTTAATAAGTAGTTCAGTTATTAATGACAAATAAAAAAAATCACTACCACTGTACTAGAACTATTATACTCTGATTATGGACTAATAAGAGATATTATTATAAGTTTCATGTCTCAATAAGAAATTACAATGCAGGTCATGAGAAAAACAGATTAAAAAAATTAAATATGCATCTGCACTCTTATTTCTATTGTTTTGCCAACAAGAAATGGCAAGAAATATTCTTAACAAAGGCAAAGGTTTGTTAAATGTGTACTGCATTTTGATCATATTTGTCATAAGGTAAGAATTTATCAGAATGTTAAGGTAAAAACAAACAAGGAAACATTGTTTTATATATATGTAAATCTTAAAATCTAAAGTATGGGAAATCTTGTTTTTAAAATGGATTTGAAAAAAAAAATTGCCTCCTCATTTATTTCTTGTGATATTCAATACTGGAATCTCTTGCAAGAAGCAAATAGTAGGTAGAGCAGACAACGTAAGTTATCATGTGATAAGAAGAGCATTAACTTGACTTGGGGAGGTGGTGTTCATAATTATAGGGATTATAAGATTCCTCTTCAAGGGATAAATCTCCTTCAAACAAAAGAAGCTTCTGTCTAAGAAGTTACTTGACTAGTTATTGATACTACTGACATATATAGCAAGTTGCTTAAAAGCTCAGTATTTCATAACCATAAAGTTTTATAACTTATGCTTTATTTCTCCAAATGTTATTTGGCTTAATAATCATTTAATTTAAGTCAAGTAAAAATTTACTTTCTTTTTTCAAGCCCACTTATGTCTATGAATAGAGTTACATTTGTGTAACACAGATATCACTGGTACTATAGAAAAAGAATAAATAAATAAATTTTTAATAAAGCAAAAAACTATTTTAAAGATGGCAGGATGTATAACATTGTACTTTCACAGAAAGATAGTAAAATTAATCTAAAATATTAATATATTATTAATATCAGCAAATTAATATTACTACTGTTAGTAATTATTGATTATGCAAATATCTTAACTTGTTTAAATTTCTTTTCTTTAAACTTCTTTGCTAAAATACCAATGTTCTTTTATTCAAATGAATGGCTTAGTTCTCATGAGGATAAAAGCATTTGTATAAAACTGATGTATTTCTACAAGCAACAATGGAAAATAGTAAAATTTGGTAAATTTCGATGGCAAAATATGCTCAATCAACTGTTTGCAAAAAAATACCAAAAAAAAATTTATAGTAGCATACATTTTTTATCATCCAGAGATTTTCCTGAATGTCAGTTTCATAGCAGTTGGTACTCAATACACACACCTCCTCCACAGAAATGTGGGGAACTGCAGACAAAACAACTTAAATGTAGGTATGCCTATAAGTAATATCTTGTAGGCAGATCAAATTCCTTGTTCCTGAGTTTAAAGCATGCACACACTTATTATTCCCAAGTTTTGAGCTGACCAGGAGCTGTGTAACTGCATTAATTCTTGAGCTAACATGCCGTGGCTCTCAACAGGACTAATTAGTTTGGGTTCAGCCCCATGTTATAGCTCCAGATTGGCTTGGAAAGTAATCAAAGCAAGCTCACATCTGTTTATATATGACTATGCGTATATAACTGGTACTAGTAACAACAAATAGTGCATACTAATTCAGAGTTTGGTATCCATTTCTTCCTTTTTTTTCCCCCTTCTTCATAATGGTAACCATTTATAGAAAAAAAAATGCTTGAATAACAAGTTATTTAATGAAAAAGACAAAACATGTTGACTTAATCATTGGTGATGTTATTACACACACACCAAACAGTCCTGTACATTCATGACACTAGCATTTTGAAGTCTTACTTTTTGAATTCTGAAAGAATCCTAACAATTAAAGGTGGATGTAAATCTATATATTTAATATATAGATAAAATCTGTGGAATGATAAGAGCAAATTCTGCAATCAATAAAGAATTCGTAAACTTTAAACCAGAAAAGATCACTTATCACCTGCTACATAGTGCAATGCTACGGCCTCTGATCATCTCCCTGTTTAACCTGTAACATACTTCTAAGATGGGTTTCTGGACTTCAGCTTGTAAGGAGCAGAGGATGGAACTTGACATGCCTTTCCTTACTAAAATTGAGGAGCAACAACTTAATTCTTTTCTGTCAATAAACAAACACCATTTTCTGACCCTTTTTGCCTGTAGTAAAACAAAAATACTCAAAACTATAGGATATAATTGACACAATTGCTGCAAATACAGATTTTGCAATGCTGGCCATATGACCTTACTGAATACCTGCAGCTTTGATGCACAAGGTGGCTCAGGTCCATCATTGCACTTCATTATGCTTGTCAGGAAGGGGAGGAGATTGTAGCAAACTGTAGCAGACCACCTCTACAGCTTACTGAGGTTTAGTTTACACATGACTATACAATAAGTCCAGCTCCTCAACCTTCTCTTTTCACTTGCTATGCCGCTCACTTACAAACGATAATTTTTTTTCTTAAATGAAAAATGTTGACTTTTGCTGCCTGGTTCCATTGAGCCATGAAGGGACCTTGTTCAATAATCCAATTAACTGTCCTTTGAAGACAGCAAGATGCAGATGCAGTCAGATTAGAAGACCAGGCATGTACAGAGTAAACTGTCAGGTACAGAGTAAACTGTCAGATACAGAGCATCAAACCAGTAAATTCTGCACTGAAATAATTTACCCTGTATTCTAGCAAGATACCAAATCCTATAACTATGTGCAATTGTGGAATACAGGCTTTGGTTGCAATAAGTAGTTTGTATATATAGGTTTGGTAGTTTTCAGATTGTCTGTGGGTGTTGCATTGATTTATACTCATTCATGTTTCAAAATACTACCTTCAAAAGCAGATGATACTTGGAACACAGCACTTTGAAAGGAAAAATTTTGTGGGCTCTGAGTCCCAGTATTGACAAACCACTTCAGCGTGCAAAAACAAGTATATTTTTGCTCTTCAAAACACTACCAGCTAAATTCTAATTCTGTAAAATGAGAAGCCCAAATTCATCAGAACATAGTAGTCACTGCTGCCCTCTATCAGCAGTCCTCCAGGTGGATGGCTGAAAAAATATACTACTTGCCATTCCTTAAAAACGTGTTACTGCTTGTTCAGCCGGTATCATAAGAAGTGAACTAAGTTTACTAAAATCTTTTGGGACCACAGGTCACTCAATGTCTCTAACCAGACAATTTTTGTACTCCAGGTAAACATAGTAATGTTTATTCTTCTGTTTGCATGAATTGTTCTGTTCAAATCAAGAATCTCCAATTTTCTACAGTTTAAAACAATATAAAAATACTATGCAGTCTATTCTTAATATTCTAGATCTATATCTGAAAAAGCCAATTACTGTGAGCTAAATTCAGTTCCTAACTAGTTCCCCTGCCTAAAAACAACCCAGAGAACTTAACGTTATTTTTTACTAATATTTGACTATGCTTTTTTTTTTTTTTTGCAAATAACACTACTTAAATTTGATTTACAAACTAAGTTTTCATAGATAACATCAAGTCAATTAAACTATATTTCTATTTATGACATAGATCACAAATGATTGCCAAAATGGAGAAAGATTTAAAAAAAAAATTCTGTCACTAAGTGTCATGGTATTTTTCCTGTGTTCTTTAGGATTAACAGTTCTTACACACATATTATAATTAGCAACCTATGAAAAGCAAGCTCTTAGTTCACAGTAGCATACCCTGATTGCACAATTAATTCCTTATTCTTATGAAAAACCGTCACCAAACATTTATGTACGCAAAATATTTTTCTTTTTACAAAAGTTCACAAAATGGGGCTAAAACAAGACAAACCCACAAGCTTTACCAATCATATCAATTTTGTATAAGAAGTATCCACTGCCATATTCACCTGTCTGTAAAGCGGCTTACACAAGAAAGCTTGAAAAAATATACCATTTTTATCAATACAAAACAAATTAATCAGTAAATATTTAAAATTTATGAGGCATTTCTATGTGAAAACAACCATGTTAAATAAGCTGATTCAGGCAGTTCTATGAAAAGCTTTAGCTGGAAACCTGCATTTAAAATCTATCCTAAAAACAAGTAGAACACAGCACCAACCCAAGCATTAGCTCAATTAAAAAAAGGGGGGAAAAAATGAAATCCCTTCTCAGCTTAATAACTTGTTAGTTCTTGACAAGTGCAACAACACAACAATAAGCCAGTCAAAATGAGTTTTTAAAGCGAGGTTATGCCCTTCGTGTTGTGTTATCACAGTGGCAGATCAAACTGCTGACTTGGACTCTTTCTGCCAGCAGTGCTGATGCTGCCTCTATGAAGCTGCTGTCACAGAATAGTCATGGTACCTGCTCTTGCCTATAGAAAAGCACTAAATTGAACTCGAAGGAGTGTCTTTGTGATATCTTTTCAACAAGTCATGTCCCATTCAGCCTGCTAGTTTATCTCTGTCAGGCTGGGGGCCCAAGCGGTTTGCGTGAGCTGTCAGGGACAGGTATACCAACCTGCTCAGTGCTAAGGAGGTAATGCATCTTTCGGGCTTGGTATTCCTTTTCCTTTTCTTTCTTTTCTAGGTCTTTCCTTTTCTCTTCTTTTTCCTTCATTTCTGTGTACATTTGGAGTTCACTCCTGCAATAAAATAAGTCTGCTAATTATTTTACAACAATAAAAGCCTGATAATGTTTTAACCCTTTTATAGCTTCACAGTGTTCTGTTATTATGTATTAGCGGTATACTGACACCACTGGAATGCAAAATCACAGTTCATTCGCTGCCACAGCAGTAGGATTCTACACGGATATAACTGTGACAGAATAGAGTTGAAATGATGAAAACTATGAACAGTATATTGGTTGTTCTTGTTTACTCTTTTGAAGAATATGTCAACTTTCATCATTTTACAGCTTGATAAAACAGCATTCACAGGTGTCTTTCTTCTTTTTTCTTCAAGTGCCATTTTAGTTTGCATTTGTCTAAGCAGAGGTTATTATAACAGTGATTTTTCTTCAAATGGTTTCAAAATGAAAGTTGTTCACTCATGTTTCAGCTAGTGACTTGTAACACTGCAGACAGGGAAGACCTTATGGAATGAGACAGCATAGTAGACAAAGGGTAAGAGTTGATGTTAACTCCTAGATCCTTGAGCTTTTTGTAAAGCTGAGAATATAGGCATAAGGAAGAAGTGGATGTAAACTTTTTACACGTGTCATCCTTAAGAGGAGTTTCCATAGCGTTAGGCTTCTGACACAGGTCGCTTCCTACTCCGATCTGATGGCAATGGTACAGGCCACCACAAGGAAGAAGAACGTAACTGCATGACAGAGGTTTGCAAACACACAGTGTCACCTAAATGAGTGGGTCTGAGTATTCAATAGGTCATAGAAAATTCTTTCATCATTAAAGAAATAAAGAACTGTACCTAATACAGGCTCCTGAAGAATGGAGAAAACTCACAATTTTAACTGAATGTTTAGATGAAAACAGAAAATAGGTGCAGATTTCCTGTTCGGTGGCTTTTCTTCATAGAGCCAGGCTTGCCATAAATTATGCAAACAGTGGAGTGAATTAATGTTCTATAAGAAACGAAATTCTGTGCTATGGTGCACAGTGCACGTGTATGGAATTTTTCTGACCCAGTTAAAAAAGGTTAGTTTGATTAACATTTGTTATTTTTGTTATTAAGAAATGGCTAGTTCAAATTAACCTGTGTGCCAAAGACACCAAGCGTATTCAGTCAAGCATTTAGATTGTTTAAAAGTTAATTAAGTAAATTCTAGCCTATTTTTTTTAAGCACGTGTGTATATGATAAAATGAAAAGCAAAGCAAAGTATACTATTCTCATATCTGGATAATTCAAATATTCCTGTAAAATAGGTTATTTAGAGAGGTCCACAGTGTTTCAATGAGTACCAAAAAATACACTTTAGGACAAGGGTCAAATATTGTCAAAGTATGCACATGAATAGGTTTGCTGATATGAATATTCCCACGGGAAACTGGTATTGCTCCTGAAAGTTTTTTTAAAGATTGTGACTTAGACTTATTCTTAATATTTAAATTATCATAATTTTAAATTAGTTCATCAAAATATGTGAAAGAGTAATAATTGCTTTATAAATTTGAACACTATGAAATCGCATTCTTAAATACAAGTTGCAATACAGAAATTTTGTTTCATGCTATCTTTCTAGTTTTTATCAACTAAAATAAGTATTTAGTAAGTAAGCGTGTTTTATTTCAAATGTAAAAGAAAAATTAGAACAAAAGGGAATAAATTAAAAATTGGAAAAGATGTATAAGTCCGTTTCAATCTCTGGAAATATTTTTTTGTTGCAGTTTACTGTTAAAGGCTGCTAATACAATATTTCATACAAGGTTACTTATGAAGCACACTGACGTTTAAAAATCACCATGCTATGCTTTTGCAGCAGTGTAATTTTTTTCCAACATAAGATTAAATTGCAAAATAAATGAATTACTTAGAGTGGCATGGCCCCCATTTTGCCACCCTTCTCTTGAAAATTGCTTATTAATATGAAAAAAGAAGTTGGAAAATAGCCTGTTTTACTTTATGCATAGCGTTTTGGGGCCTCAAAGCCTGCAGAGCTGGACTGGCTGCACATTTTAGATTGTGTTGGCAAGCAGGGACGACGACCTTTCTGACCTGAATCTCAAGGCTATTATTAATCGCTAAGTAACCTGGTAAAGCCAAACAAATTTGTTTCCATTGAAAGGATCTCTATCTGTGTCTGGGAATTTGTGCTGTACCAAACAAACCTCATTAACTGTGTCCAATTTTGACAAAGAACTAGGAGTTGGAGAGATTGGCGACCTTTCTTCGTCCTTAAGGTACAGATTTCAGAGTCACTGCATCTAGATACATAAGCATTTTTACTTGGAAACTTTGTTCTGTATCAATCAATCACAAACAAATGAATAAATAGACAATGCATACAGTATCGGCTTTGTTCTTTTGTGTTATGCTACTTTACCTTCAATATCAGAGTGTATGATCTATGTTTTACATATTTAATACTATTTCTTTTTCCATTTTGATTACAGAGTCCTCTATTCATATTTATTACTGCTATCTATAACTGATGAAATGTCTATCAACATATTACTACAGTTTATTCACGTTCTTATATACTCAGGCACTTCTTCCCAACAGTGGACATGGAAGCCTTGATATCTATAACACAACTGGTAACAAAACCCTCCAAACAACAATAATAAAAATAAAAATTTGTATTACAAATAGAATTATAATTGCATGCAAAATGTTTCCTATTGTCATCAATCTGAATTTACCAGATTACTTTGAATTAATGATTAGCAATCATTATTTGCTGAAATTAAATGAAGTCTAAAATAGTTGAAGCCCAGTGTAATTCATTCTTTTTAGACAGTACTACCCAAATCAACCAAGTCATCATGATCCTTCCTGGTTATCACATGTCCTCATTAGCACTGTATGATAATCCATTTAAAATTTTGAGGTTTTTTAAGCAGTTATAAACAGTTTTCAACACACTTTTGCCACCTACACCTTTTGTCAGTTGTGCTACAATATTTCTATCATGCATTATACTGCCCTGTACAGTTGCCGAGAACGTACAGACAATTCTGTCTCAGGGATAATAGCTCCCTAGATGATTCTCTCCAGAGAGGCAGTACAAAATAAGGGATATGTAGTAATCAAAGTATTGTTTGACTGGAAAGTATATATTGTTTAGCTTATAGATTTATTTTAAAGCTATTTTAACCTGAAACTTCCATCACTTTTACATCACAAGAAAGCAGAGAATCTAAAAGTGGTTGAATATGTATATATTATTTCACACATTAGTATTAGTTAGTTAGCTAATACTGACACGTTGGACACTGTGCAGGGGGTTTCACTGTTACCATGCAGAAAAATGTATATAGCTATGAGTGATGTGAAAGACAAACTTAAACTTCCAAGTAGAGTTAGGCTTCTATATAGCTTATGGGTAAATGTGTTTCTTGAGAAATTTCATTCTCTTTTCTACTGGTATGCCTTCACAGAGAAAATAAATCCATAATCCATTAAAGTCAACTGAAAATTCATTGAAATGAAATTATTTTTGGATTAAACCCTTACACTTACGGCCAGCCTTCTCTTTGTTCATACATATCTTAGGTTCATTGAGCAATAGTAAGCAATCTTTTCTTGGAAATAATTATATTATGAATACTAGCTATGATGCGTGATACTCAGTGGACTCTGAACCAAATTTGCTTCAGGATGAACCTTTCATGGCTTGGTATGAGGTGGAAGAATTCAATATGAGCAAACTGTTTGGCCTGCATTTTTAAAGCTTCACCAAATATGGGGGGAAGAAAAAAGAGTTCTGTATATGTAAAGCATGTATTAAGTTAATGAATAATATTGTTCTGTTTTTATAAATGATCAATCTGTCACTTGGCTCATAGTTGGAACAGTACTGCTCATGTAACTGAGAAAGTGGGTAATATTTTTACCATATAATCTTTTCTTTATATCGGAGCTTATTGGAGTGTATTAACAGTATCTACTGCGGCTTCCTAGAAACCTGGCTTCCCATATAAACTTAATCCAATCAGAGTTTCTCCCACACAGATTTTTATGGAATATCTTTCTAGAGGAAATAAGTGTAAGTTTTGACAAATGTAGTGTCTTATGATATGAAAGTTTTTCAACAAATCAGAAGAATATAAATGTTTATTAGTGCAAATTTAGGATGCATTCTTTTGTTTGAAAAGTGAATATACTGGGTAACACAAAGTGTGTTTTCTTTGTCATAGGAAATGTTTCATGTCAATGAAAATAGGCATGATTATCAGTATATGTGACTAAACTCCACAAGTAAAAATGATCTTGTGTAACCAATGTGTGAAGTAGCTATTGATTTGTTAATGATAAAATTATTTGTTTTACATAGTTTGAAACTGAAATATTTTCATATGACAGGGTAACTTAATGTTATTCTGAAATTTCATTATGCAGTAGGCAGTGGTGTTGGTTCCAGCTATGAGATGTAAATTCAGTTGACAATGCTCCTGCTGTCTGTACAAAGGTTAAAAATACACATAGAATATTGTTCCTGGCACTTTTGGAAAGGTCTTCAAGTGATGATTTCAGCAATATACAGATTTTAATAAATCTGCATAGAATTGCATCATTTTACAAATTCACACCAACCTACATTTATTGAACTTTATCAAACTATTGCATTCTCTTTGCATTTTCACTGGCATTCTGTGGACCCTCGACCAGACAACCATAAAACAATATTAACTAAAATAAAGGGCATCTGAGAAAATCAATAATTAATATAAATGCTTAGAGTACTCAAAAGAGTATGAAGTTATTGTAGTTTTAAAAAGTTCAGACCCCAAACCATGAAATTCCTGCAACATAGGCGGTAGGCAACTTTAGCATAAAAGGAGATAACCTAAATCAGCTTTACCTTCCTGACTATACATCATCCTCCCTGCTCAAATACAGAATATGGAAGTGCAAATGAAATTAGTGGGACAATATTTTTGGTACACCATTTCATGCCACAATTTCACATTACATTGGTGTGGGTGAGAATGGAGTATGAACTGACACAATAATATC